CCGCCTCCAGGTAGAGTAGCGTTCTTGTGTGTGGAGTGACGCATTACAGTTCCGGTAGTCATGGTTGTACAACATTCAGTCTAATGTCACTCATCTCATCAAGGACCAGTCTCTCTCTCCCTCTCTCTTACCCAAGGTGTAAGAGGCAAGCTACGGGTGTCATATGCATCTCCCTTCTCCACACAGATATAAAAATTACTAGCAAAATTGCCCGGCTTCGCTTGGGTTAAGCAAACACTATATAACCTTGACTGTTAGAATTTGTCCTCCCACAATCGCCGTGATGATATCTCAGTCGGGGAAGATTTTCGGTTCTTGCCGGGACCACCCGGGGGTCCGTGGTCGATAGTAATGAGTGAACAACCTTGGGAACCATGTACAGTAATATGTGTAAAGTTTCAGGACTATAACTACTTCAGTTTTGGAACTATGGCTGGAACAGACAAACAGACAGACACACGTCCGTTTTATTATTATAGATATTTTATCCGATATAACTTAATATTTCACACGTCAACGTTATTTGCGATAACTGATAAAATATTCATCTTGATCTCCAGCTGAAACCCTCAACACCTGAGTGATCCGACATAACACCAAGCGTTATCTCATGTAACGATGGACAAACAGTGCACCGTCACCTGGCTCATTTAGTACTAGGTGTACTGTGGGTCACTTCCATGGCATTTAATCAATCTCACAGTCAGCAAAGTCCAATATGTAGCAGGTTATGACTCACTTCACCCACCACTACTAACACCTGAGCCACGAGGTGAGGTACACACTATGGGGAGACATCAACACACACACACACACCTGCACCACCACATACACACAGATGCTCTCTATGATCATCTTACCAAAACTGGAATTGAATGCCACGACCGACTGACCGACAACATGGCTGTGTAAAGAGTGTTAAACCACATAATATAATACCTCCATAGTGACTGTCATCCTCCCAGTCGACCAGCCCATGACACCCGCCTCGTGACCACAACTCTACAGGTTTTCATCTAAGGTCCTGAAAACTAACCATGACAGAGCTAAACATATAATGAAGATGCCTTTTGGTAGGATTCATTAAGTACTCAATTACGTTACAATATCTGAAACTTCGTGTACTATTTCAGAATATGTCCCCAGGCGTATATTACTGTATATTTGTAGTGTATTACCAACAGGTGCCAGTATGTACAGTTGGGGACATTTCCGACTGGTACACTCCGCGTTGTCAATCCATTCTTTCCGTGAGTATCTGAACGTGAATCCGAAGCCTCTCAGTTATTCGGTGAGACGTGAGGTGCACACAGTAGCTTGGGACCACAATGGTATAATTTGACTCATTACATATGCCCGGCAACGTTTACATAGATTATTGATGTACAGTAGTATGGACGCTTCTAACGTGGAGTGAATATTACCGGTCCTGCAGTGGACAATGTAAGGCTGAAACAGTTGGTTACACAGTATAAATCTACCTCTTTATTTATCCTCAAGCAAAGTGTAAGAGACGTTAGTATAGTGCCAGACTTTATGTGGGTCAAGTGTTGTGGGGTGCAACTGTCCCCAGTCCTCTGTCCAGCGTGGGCAGAGACCTCCCGTCCCCTCCCCTTCGTCTCCTTACGTCACACCACCTCCCCTTAACATCATTTCAGTTGTTTACATTAAGACAGTTACAGGGTGTATTGAAAATGTGTTTGAAGGCTAATTTATCGTAGCACTGTTGACAACTGATGTTCGAAACGGAAATAGTTCTTTTATCACAACGGAAAATAATAGAAAATTTGGCGTTAAACCAAATGTATAACTTTATTTTTATTGCTTAATGGATGATAATGTGGTGAAAATAACGGGAAGAATGGATTGACAACGCTGAGTGTACTAGTCGGAAATGTACCCAACTGTACATTTTCATAGGAGGGTCTGTGTCTGTAATTTGGATGAGCTGACAGGTTTACAGGGCACATGCAATACAGTGTTGATCCAGCACTGTTGTAGCACTTGCATGCCTGCGTGAGCCAGGGCTGACACGCTAAGACTTAATGTAATCATATTGACTACTCAAGTTAGCAGTACAGTGCGTCGATTCTAACATTTCTAGTCTGTACCAGGCTAGATGCAGGTGACCAGTACACACTACTTGTTTAACAAATAAGTTAACATTAGTTATTTAAATCAGTTATATTTTATCAAAGTTATCCAATTAATGAAGTTCTCACTTACCTTTCTGACTGAACACTCGTGTACAGTTATTACCAGTTCATCACAACAAGTATAACAAATTCATTAATCCAATGTTTACATATCATGGCTCTCTCTGGGTATAAAATGCACACTGGGGTGTACAGTATTAAGTGTTACAACTTGTTCATGACTCAGTGTTCGTGTTTCCGATGACAAGATGCTTCAACACATACAAACTTATAGATTTAGAAGTACCCGTAGTACTAAATGTACACAAATTACTAATGCATATACTGTACTACTGTGAGGTGACGACAGCAGCCACTCAGGGAGGTACTACTGTAAGGTGACGACAGCAGCCACTCAGGGAGGTACTAACACTCAGACTTGGAAGGGCTTAGGCCTAACTACCTAAAGAGAGGCCTGGATCTTCCTTCTTCCTCTGTAAACACTATTGATGGCTTTTACTACACCCCCCCCCTCCCCACTAGTGCTGTGCCGGTCATCACACCACATAACACAGCATTACCGCCAGGTGACCACGACGTGCCAGCCACTCCCATCTACAGTTCTACCAAGCCAACCAGCGATCAGGAACACAACAGCCAAACAAATCACTTTACAACCAATTACAGCAGTCACGTGCCTGGAGCACCACTATTGACCCTTCACTTTCATTGACAATCGGCTAAACCAAATCTAACACTTCTTACAGAAATGAAAAATTATCTCGTCACATTCACTTCTCCCAGTACTGTGCTGTGTATATCGCTCTCTCATAGCTCCCCTCTGGTGCCCACATTGTTTAACACTCACTGACAAAATGCATAACACTGCAACTGATCCCACAGCCTAACTCATAATGCTGGGTCTGGGAGATTTCAACATCCACAACAATGAACGGTTAACGCACTCGGCTCACTCTGACCAAGTTGGTGTGGAGGAACCTTACACGGGATAGGAGTTGATTAAGACCATTTTCACCTGGGTCTAGCTCCTAGAAGGTAGTCCTCAACATTAAAACTAAAGAAGCATAAATATTTATTAATATTATATAAACTACAAGACGTTAGGTCCAGGTGGGTTTCCTCAAACTACCATAAAAAATGCCTTAAAATCAATTTATCTCAACTCAACTCGACTCAGCAAAGACTTCTGAAACAGTGTCCAATAATTATTCTCAAACGCCTTGAAAATAACAATTTACGTAGTGATCGATTGGCAGTGTTGTTCCCGCTGTAGTCACTCGGCTGTCGACCCTCCATCATTCTCAACACTTAAACAAAACAGACTGGACTGGAGGAACCCATGTTGTGGCTCTTGACATTTCCAAAGCATTTCAAGGTTTTACATAAAGCCCCACTTGTTTAAACTGACCTCCAATAGACCAAACCTCTTTAGTTCTTTTGAGTTCTTCTGTTCTACAAACTGTGTACTATAGTTCTGGAGGTTGTATCGGAGCACCTGTTGTTAGGGTGAGACACACTAAAGTGGCTGATCCCTGAGTACTTGTTAGGGTGAGACACACTAAGGTGGCTGATCCCTTAGTAGTTGTTAGGGTGAGACACACTAAGGTGGCTGATCCCTTAGTACTTGTTAGGGTGAGACACACTAAGGTGGCTGATCCCTGAGTACTTGTTAGGGTGAGACACACTAAGGTGGCTGATCCCTTAGTACTTGTTAGGGTGAGACACACTAAGGTGGCTGATCCCTTAGTACTTGTTAGGGTGAGACACACTAAGGTGGCTGATCCATGAGTACTTGTTAGGGTGAGACACACTAAGGCGGCAGGCCCCGTAGTACTTGTTAGGGTGAGACACACTAAGGTGGCTGATCCCTGAGTACTTGACGTTAGGGTGAGACACACTACTAAGGTGGCAGGCCCTTGGTACTCGTTGAGGGGGGTGGGGAGGTGAATAATGGATGACACACCACGAGACCAGCTGTTAAGTAGTGCTGGTAGTTGTGGTAGTTGTGGTTGTGGCGAAGGTAGTGATGGTGGTACTGGTGGTGATGGAGGGTGTATATTGATGTGTCGTTCGTGGTCGACATGCGATGTCTCCTCCTCCTTCAGGCTGATCCTCTACACTCCAACATGGGGTTTGTGTGGTGTCAAGGGAGTGAGGACCTTCGCTCACCCCGGCAAACAGGTAATGGTTTGTGTTATCAATATGCAGGCAGTGAACGTGTCGCTGGTGGGTGGCACGCGACCTCCCCTTTGGGTAGTTCCGCGTCGTATCAATCAATGTTCCTATCTTTCGGTGTGGGAATATTTTTTTTTTGCATGTCAGAGAGATACATCATCTCCCTCAAGAGGATCCTCCACGCACCGACGCTTGTTTAAGTAGAGTGAGCGTCGTTGCTAAGCTAAGTTAAGCTAGCCAGGAGGATGGAGGGGAGTGGCGTTAGCGTGTGTGTACTGACGTGTCACTGGCGGCACGCGACAGACTGTACACTATGGACTCAACACGCTCCAGTTAACCTGTGAACCCGCGAGTTACCTGTGGAGAGCTGATCACCTTATCTTACCTATCTGTGTAACTTTAGGTTACCTGTGAGGTATCCCCAGCTCACCTAGGGAGCTTTGCTAACTTCTCTAGACCTTCGGTTTGCGCCATGTAGATCCTCAGCTCAGTCATAAAGCCTGAATTTACCTGCGGAATCCCAGTTCACCTGCCAAGCCTTCATGAAGCCTCTGCATACGTGTGTAATCCCAGCTTATCTGCAAAGGTACATGTTAACTATGACATCTCAACTATTCTGTGAAACTTTAGCTTACCTGTGATGCCTCAGCATATATGTGGAGATGCATCTCACTTATGAACCTTCAGCTTACCTGTGGGAGACTGTTGGTCAGCGGCCTCGTCGCTCGAGAAGGTGAGGGAGCAGGAGCGACACATGCTGTCCCTAGGGCTGGGGTGCTGGCCTTCTCCCCGCCAGGCCCCACCTAGCCCTAAGTGGAGGTTCCGAACCCTTTCCTGCAGTCCCCGGAGCCTTCCCCGTGCCCACCCCCGTGCCCTCATCCGTTGCAACTTCTCCTCTAGGGCCGGGGGAATCTCACGGCGAAGACGACGAAGTCCTAGAAAACGAGCCTCGACCCAGGCCCAGTCTTGGCCGCCTCCGTCGTCCCTACTCCACCACCTGTCGTCTGGAGACAACGACGGCGACACAGGCGGGGTGTGGGGGCCTCCTTTGGGCCACGAGGAACAGCTTGAGCTGAGGTCAACTTCCGGGTCATTGTCAGAGTCACCACCCTCGCTCATGGCGGTGTCAGAGGCGTCGGCCAGGGACTCTCTCTCTTGGTGGTCGGGTTCTATGCAATTGGCGGAATAGCGGCGTCTGTAGAGCGTGGCGTCGGGGCAGCGGCCGTAGTGGTGATGTCTGCGGAAGCCCGACCGCTGGAAGGCGCCACTCAGGACGCGCGAGATGAGAAGCTCTGGTCCTGTTAGCGTCATCTGCTCCTTGAAGAGGTTGGCGTTGCCGTCATAGGAGCCGTTATAGGTGGCGTCGAGGGTGGCGCCGTTGGCCAGGGAGAGGTGGTGACGCTCACGTAGCATTGTGCTGCCCGAGGTTTTGCCCCCCAGGAGGGCCACGCCTGCCCCCTCCGTCACACCCCCACCAGGTACAGCCTTTCCCTGTGCCATGTTGGCACGGGGCAACGGCATCAAGAGAGGGAGGTTCATCTTGAGTGAGCCTGCACGACCAACACTCGCTCATCAACCACTATCTCACTAATGCCCACGAGACGCTCCCTCCACCGTGAGCAGCACCACGCATCAAGTTATCTCTGTCCGTCAACTCTCGCCTCACCACACACACATATCAACCGTGTTTACTCTTACAGCGACAGAATTTTTCAATCCGGTTTCCATCTGCACACACACAGTAATACTTGCCTCAGTCAATGACACACACTACTGAAAACTTTCCACCAGCTTCTTTACTCAGCTGACTACATGTGTGAGACACATACTGCTCTTCACTCAGTAAAAATCAAGCCATTTATTTTCTGCCAAGACTCCTGGTGTAGGAACAAAAAAAAGAAATTAAAACAGGAAAATTCTCAAGACGACTTTCATATTTTACAACGACGGTGAAAAAACAAGCGTGATGGCGTGACCAGAGCACCAAGAGGGCGGTGTGTGGGGGAGTAAGAGGGGAGAGAGAGGGAGGGAGGGAGTAGGAGGGAAGAGAGGTAAAGGAGTAAAGGAAGTTCGCTTGGCTGGAGCTACGAAGGAGTAAAGGAAGTTCGCTTGGCTGGAGCTACGAAGGGGAGGGGGTGTAGGGTGGCACAGGAGGGAGGAGATGGCACAGGAGGGAGGAGGTGTACAGGAGGGAGGAGGGTGGCACCTGAGGAGGGAGGAGGAGGTGTTACAGGAGGGAGGAAGAGGTGGCCTGAGGAGGGAGGAGGGTGGTACCCGGGAGGATGGTGGCACAGGAGGGAGGAGGGTGGCACAGGAGGGAGGAGTGGTACAGGAGGATGGTGGCACAGGAGGGAGGAGGAGTGGCAGGAGGGAGGGTGTAGTACAGGAGGATAATTGTAACACAGGAGGGAGGAGGGGTGTACAGGAGGGGAGGAGGAGGTAGTACGGGAGGATGGTGGCACAGGAGGGGAGGTGGCTGGGAGGAGGGGGAGAATTAACACAGAAGGGGAGGAGGAGGTAGTACAGGAGGATGGAGGTAGCACAGGAGGAGGGAGGAGGGTGGCACTGAAGGGGAGGAGGGTGGCACAGGAGGGAGGAGGAGTGAGCCTGGGGAGGATGGTGGCACAGGAGGGAGGAGAATTGGCACAGGAGGGAGGGTGGCACGGAAGGAAGGGGAGGAGGGTGGTACAGGGATAGTGTAGCACAGGAGGGAGGAGGGTGCTGAGAGGGAGGAGGAGGGTGGCACGGGAGGGAGGAGGAGGGTGTGTACCCGGGAGGGTGGCACAGGAGGGGGAGGAGGTGGTACAGGAGGGTGCTTTTGGAAGGGGAGGAGGTGGTACAGGAGGATGGTGGCACAGGAGGGAGGAGGGTGGCACAGAGAGGGGGAGGAGAATTGGCACGGGAGGGAGGAGGGTGGTACAGGAGGATGGTGGCACAGGAGGGGGAGGAGGGTGGCACAGGAGGGAGAATTGGCACGGAAGGGGAGGAGGGGTGGTACAGGGAGGGATGGTGGCACGGGAGGGAGGAGGGGTGGCACGAGGAGGGTGCTTTGGGAGGGTGAGGTACGGGAGGGAGATTGGCGCAGGGAGGGGGAGGAGGGTGGCACGGGAGGGGGAGGACGGTGGCGCGGGAGGGGGAGGAGGGTGGCAAGGAAGGGGGAGGAGGGCGTATACTATTCACCCTCCCACACACTGTATAGGATAGAATTTGAAACTAGAAGAAGTCTGGAAGGAGGAAGGGGGGAGGGGGGTGAAGGAGTGAGGGAGGGAGTGGAGGAGTATAAGTTGAAGGAGGGAGCGAAGGAGGGAGGTGAGTGGGATATATTTCTGCTGATTATAATAAAAATAAATAAAACGTTTGTGTACAATGACTCGTTCGTATAATAAATCTGAAAACGTTCCTCGAGTACAATATCTGAACACGTTTGCATATGAATGCTCGTTAGCGTAGCAGCTGAACAGGTTTACATATTAAGATACGTTTAAGCAGTACAGCAGGAAACGTTTGTATACTGACATTGAGAGTCGTTCTACTAATAAAGAATTGCCTGAAACGTTTACATTATCAACACTCGTTAAACCCGAAAAGGCCCTTGTATCCCGTTTCATAATAAATTCATGTAAAAAAAAAAATAAGGACTTGCATACCATAACCCACAACACCAAGACAGACAGACGGACACACACACAGTGACACGTGTTGCTGGGAATAACAGTAAATGTGTGTGGTAAATCAATATAACCTAACTCATCCCTAACTTAACTTAATCTAGCTTAACCTAAACAAACTTAAAAGTAATATTAACTTAACCTAACATAACAAAGCATAGGATAATTAAAACTCTTATCTAACCTAATTAAACCCTAATCTAACCAAATTTAATCCTAACCAAACTTCGACTAACTCAACCATAAACTAATTTAACTTAACTCAACCTAACCTAACCTACTTTTACCCTATACAACTTTACCAAACTTAACCCAACACTAAACGTACTCAGTATAAGTAATAAAATATTAACACTTAAAACTTGGGCTGGTGGGTTTTCTTCGTGTAGGATTTTTTAACTGCCTCAGAAATACTGTAAGTGTGTGGTAGCTGCGAGGAGATGGTCATAAAGTAGTACTGATAACGTGTCTATAATGGCGTATTGATGAAGTGTTTATAAAGGAGCACCGTAAATGTGTTTTCGATCCCAATAACTATTAAGTGTAATGCGGCAGTGTTTATTAAAGAGTTAGGGGAGAGGGAGGAAATATGCCGCACTTCCCATTACCCTTACTTCACCACGTCCGCCTCACCACTCCCTGGGGAGAACATTACGCCCCTCGCCATAAGTATATTTGCATAATCGGGCTGGTAAATTCGCCACATGCAGCAGGAGGAGGAGGAGGAGGACGAGGGCCTGCTGCAGGAGTACTCTTAAAGATGACCGTCACTTGCCCCAGTTGCTGCACGCCCGACACAACCTCCCTCCCTCCCACCAGTAACTGACACACAGAGTCCCCTCCCTCACCAGCCCCACGCTCCCACACAGCCCCCAAATGCAGAAATACCGCAGCGGCTCTCCGGACACAGCGCCTTCCTTCACCACCACACAGGTCCCTCCCACACAACACACACACTTACCATGGAGTAAAGACGTCTCCTACTGGTTTTCTCTACTACAGCTGTCTGAGGTCAACATGTCGACCTCCTTCTCCACTAAGAAACCTATGCAAGGACTGGTTATGAATCTACAACTGAAACAAACGTGACAACTACAATAATTCTCCCCACCAGCCATCTTGGGACGGATAACCAACCACGTGTAGCGGTCTGATATCCACAGCTGCATTAGACCTACAGGACCTACAGCCACCCTACTGTAGTTTCTGTAGCCTCTATGTTCATCCCGTGTATCCTCCTGTTCTGTGTAAACTGTGTCATCAGTCTCCATTGTGTGTTTTCAGTCTGTGGTTGTTGTTTTCTCTCATTAATCCGTTAATTATTATCATTATCCTCCCTCCTTCCTCACCCCGGACACATTTACTGTTGCTAGCACTCTCCCTTCATTACCACCCCTTCTGCCGTTCACCACCACCCACCCGTTTTCCATCACCCGTCTACCACCCACCCGTCCACCGCCACCAAGATGTGGGAGGGGTGAGGGAGGGAAATATGTGGGAAGGACGGTGTGGGAGGGTGATGAAGGAGGGGTGAAGGAGGGAAGGTATAAAAAAGAGTGAGAAAGGGATGAAGGAAAGGGCGAGAGATGGGATAAAGGGTAAATTTAGGATGTGGTGATTACTACAAGTTAAATCCATCCAATAAATACCCCTTTATTTTAATATAATTCCAATCAATAAATTTCTCCATCAACTCTTAACTTAACTTTAAATCGTCAGGAACTTGAATCAATTATCCAATATGAAGGAACTACCAACCACGACACACCCCCTCCACCAAGACGCCATAACCATCCAGCAACCACACGAGTGAATCTTATCAAGAACCGGAAGTAAAGACCGGAAGTGACATACGCACCAGGTAAGTCGACAAGTCTCTCTCTCTCTCAGGTCAGTACACGCAGTTTATATTCAGTCAATGGACTACCGTTAGGAGAGAGAGAGAGAGAGAGAGAGAGAGAGAGAGAGAGAGAGAGAGAGACCCACAACAGCACCACGGTCGTCTAGTTTACCTGGGGGGCCTCGCTGGACCCAAAGACCGCTCTGATACTTAAAGTCACGTTACAAGTAATAATATAAATCTAACATCACTTTAGCACACCATCTTTATGTTGTGACAGTGAACCAATGATGTACCCTCACACATCAACACTTACGAGGGGGAGAAAAAATTTAATAATAATAATAACAATAATAATAATAAAAAAAAACCCTGGCGTCACATCAACTAAGAGAAACTTTATGATACCTCTACACAGTGTAACCCTCCTCACACAGTGTAACCTCCCCTCTACACAGTGTCCCCCTGGACCCAGCTGAAGATTTTGTTCACCTTAGACAAACAATTAATGTCTCCAGTAAACACACGGGCGCTAAACCTGTACCCCCTCCATCACCCCTTGAGACACCAATCACCAGTTAAGTGTTCAAGATGTCTAACTAAAATACACTGTTGTAGTTGTGTTGATGTTGTTGTTATTGTTGTTGTTGTTGTGTTGTTATTGTTGTGTTGATGTTGTTGTTGCTGTTGTGGTGTTGCTGTTGTAGTGTTGTTATTGTTGTTGTTGTTGTTGTTGTTGTTGTTGTTGTTGTTATTGCTGTATTGTTGTTACTGTTCTTATAGCTGTAGTGTTGTAGTTATTGTTGTGTTGTTATTGTTATGCTGTTACTGTTGTTGTTATATTTTTTGTTGTTGTTATTGTTACGTAGTTGCTGTGTTAAAAGGAGAGAGACGAACAAAGTGATGACAGACAGACAAGCACAAGAGAAGGTGATCACAACAAAAGCTCCTCTTAATTGCGGGTCTTAATAAACTTCTTAGATAAGTACACAGCGACTGTAAGACGAGAGAGAGAGAGAGACTGCTGGCTGTAATGACGTCCCCCCCCCCTCCCCCTAAACCCCTCCCCTAAACCCCCCCCCCGTCCTCGCCCCCTCCCTGCCCTGTCCTCGCCCCTCCTCCCCTCACACTGACTAATGAGTGACGAGAGAAGATAATGGTTTGTACGTCCAATTTTTCACACACACACACACGTCATTAAGAAGGTCATTTAACACCAATAGTCAAACAAGGTCACTAAACACATCAATAGGTCATCATCAAAGTCATTAAACATAAATAGGTAATCAACAAGGTCATCTAACATCGATAAGTTATCAACAAGGTTATAATACATCAATAGGTCATCAAAAGGTCATCTAACACCATT